TATTAACATTGCACGGACGAAGTCGCGGGTAACAGCTATATTAAACTAAGTTCTTTTAGATCGTATGTTATTTATTCGATAGATTCCAATAGCGTTAAAAAGATTTATTGTTAGTCTACATTTCGTATGTTTCAATTATTTTTTCAATTTCACAGACTAGTATTTCGCGAATCGGCCGTGAACATTTCGCAGAATTTCTCTGAATCAATCAGAATGTTGTATCTAAATTGAATTTGTTTAAATTACAACGCTGCAAGCGATCAAAGAAACGTTAGTGTTTATGATAGCGGATGTAAAAGCGTGTTTGCTTACTCGAGGCTGACCGTCGTAGACTTGAAAGGCGCAAAGGGGTGACTGCAGTGCGTTGGGCCACAGGTGGGGGGTGGCAACCCTGTTCATCTCAGTACCGCGCCGACTGTCGTGGAGTACAGACGTTGGTTAATAACGAGATACAATAACATTCGTAACAATAACAAAGCATCGAGGAAATTCGACACGAAACTTTTTCCGGTTCACGTTTTTTTGTGCTGAAAATTCTAGTTTGTGAGTAGTGTTGTGAAATAGATAGTGTCGATGATTGTCACAAGACAATTATAGCATGCAGTAATGGATGGCGAGAATAGGATCATTTTAAACGTTGGAGGAATAAGGTACTAATAATTTTGTGATAGCTTAAGAAGTAATCGAGAAAAGAAATTATGATAACTAGTCTTGTGTTTAACTTATCAAGGATTTTAAATCAAGTTTTAGTTTTGATAATCTGTGTTAAATTATAAAATGTCCTATGTCTTTTAAACCTAGGTTTTTTACATATTAAAACGTAATTAACTGTGTTTAAAGATTATGGATTTCTATGTAATTTTCCAATAATATATTTCCTTATTCCTATTGTATAAAATCGAAGTGTATGGTCTGTTATCAATGTATAGTTCGTTCCTCATCTATTTAATCCATGGCGTTGAGGCGTGGACATGAATTTGCAAGTTAAATGTGAATATTCAAATGTGTAAACTATTGTAACAACGCCATTTTTGCCTAAACCAACAGAAAGATAATGAACTTTAATATTTAATGAAATCAATTATTTTAATGAAAAATTACTTTGAAAACATATATGATAAGATATTTTATAAAGTCGAGGTATAATGGACTAATTAAATTTACTCTTGCTGCTTAACTCTGAGTCGATCACTGAGAGTCTTTTAGTAGAATAAAGAAAAATTAATCTGTACTAAGGAACTGTTTAATTGGATTATAGCCTAAGTGCAAGTATTGGTACTGACATAAGAAAGACTTTATCCACTCACTATCTTACGGCCGTCTACAAATTAAAAAAAACAAAATAAGTACCCCATGTGATAGACTATCCTCTATATTTTTGCCATATTTCATTGAGATCTCTTCTGCAGTTTAGGTTACAAACTCTTTCAAACATCCATCCATCTAAACTTTCGCATTTATAATATTAGTATGAAAGTAAGAATTAGAAAGATCACTTTTCAGCTTAATTTAACTGATTTAGTTCTTCTGTTAAGTTCTAAGTTTATCTTAAGCAATACAATCATACTAATCATACTTCATACTAATACTATAAATGTGAAAGTTTGGATGGATGGATAGATGGATTGGTGGAAAGGATGTTTTTTAGAGTTTGTAGCCAAAACGGCTGAACGTATCTGAATGTAATTTAGCATAGATGTAGAGGATAGTCTGGAAGAACACATAGGCTACTTTCTTTTGTTTTTATTATTATAATGTCAAGCGAACGGAGTCGCGGGCGGAAGCTAGTATCTTATATTTCGTAAGTACCTCATTTGTTAGCTGAGTTGTTCTAACAAAACCTAAGTTTAGAAAAATAAGTAATATTATTTACAACTAGCTGTTGCTCGCGACTTTCTCCACATGTAATTAAAAATAGTTAAAAATATTGCTTTTTAATGGTGAAACAATTGAAATCGGCCCAGTAGTTTTTGAGTTATTTTAATACATATAAAAATACAAATCTTGCCTCTTTATAATATTAGTACAGATATAAATGAACTAAACCGAATTTCGTCGAATGAATGAACTATGAAGCGACTAAACTTAACAGAAACAAAGCGTTTGTAAAATTGTACTGAACTAGTTGACGTCATAGTTTGAATTTAGATGTACTCTGAGTGGGTTTGATTTACACATCACTAAACAAAATAAAGATGGAGTATTTAGAATAGGTAATAACTACAAAATAGTCAAAATATAAACTGATCATATTGCAGACTATATCTATAGGTTAGGAGAGACCCTTTGACTAAACTATCGCACAACTGTGTAGTCTCGCTTTGATTCCTATGATCTTACATAAATGTGCGTATACTATTCGATTTTTAGTTGTGCAACTAAACGGTTGATAAATGCAAAACAATCGACTATCGCACAAAGCGCGGCCGCTCAAGTTTTTCTGGGAATGTGACGTTTAATACTGAAATGTTTCTGTCCATAATTTACCATCAGTTTTCAATATATCTAGTAAGTTTGTAAATTAATTTCGTTCAGTTATATATAACACTGAAAAAGATTATTTTTACTATGTAACTATTTATATCTTTACTAACATTATAAAGAGAAAAGATTTGTATTTTTGTATGCATTGAAATAACTGGAAAACTACTGGGCCGATTTCAAAAATTCTTTCACTATTAAAAAGCTACATTATCGCTGACTAACATAGGCTATATTTTTTAATTTCACGAGGACAAAGTCGAGAGCAACAGCTAGTATTTACATAAACAAATGTGATATGTTTCCGTAGCTTACTTTATTTCTCTGTTATTAACCGACTTGTTATTAAGGGAAATAGTAAATTACAAGAGTTTTAGCCGATGTTATGAATATTTCCTCGAGTGTTAACATAAACAGACAATTAAATAAACAGTTGATACAATGATCTGCTTTCAATAATACAAATAAATATAGTTACAATGAAATATCATTATTGAGTTATTTTTCTACGCATTCACTGAATTTACTTACACTACACTACACTGGGTTTACTTTATATACAAGATACAAAAGAATTCTGAAACGACATTTAAATATGAAAACAGCGTCTTAAAGAAAAAGATTTCAATAAAAATTCCATTAAAATAGAGTATGAGATTATACACAACGTCAACGAAGCGACGTTTTTAAGATTCTGTTGTCTGTTCTGCTGTCAGGCGAGTGCTTTAGTATACCTGATGTTACACCTTGTTACATGCACATATATGTATGCACAGTATGCTCTACTCTACCATTACATTCAATAGTTAGGGATATCATTCTTGACGTGGGTGACCACTAATAAAACCTTATCACAAGTATTAATTGCTCGCTTTAAAAAACAGATTATAAGAGCGGGTGCACATCTTTGACTTATTTGTTGTTGCGATTGTCGATTGTTTCGCTGCCAATTTAACTGTTTAGTTGCATAAATAAAAATCAAGTAGTACACCTCCATATAACCTCATAGGAATCAAAGCGAGACTAAATAATTTTGCGATAGTTTAGTCAAAGTGCGCCCAAATAAGATTGCAAATGTTAACAATATGTGTGTCTGTGGACTGGTAGTGTACTTTGACGTCATTGTTACATATGAACATACATAAGAAACGAGTGGTAAAGGATGGTTTCCTCATACGTTATTCAATATGATAAATATTTACTGTTTACTTCAATTATCACCGCGTAGGAGGAGAGTGGGAATATCTTATAATCTAATTTAGATTACATCTACGTGGCTTGATGCTGTATTTAGTACTAGCTGTTCGCATGCGGATTCATCCGCGTGAAATTATAAAAACTTTATTTCATTGTTTACATTTGTCAAATCCTCAATTGCAAATGTCAAAATGACATGACATGACATGACAAACCTTAGCAATCTTTCTTTGTTGATGTTGGCAGCAACTTGTGGTTTATTTCCCACATTAGGTTTTTTATCCAAAATATTTACTCCCTAAGTTTATGGCGTGAAAATATATAGCCTAATGCTTGACGTAAGTGTAGGGCTTTTTATTAAAAAAAAGAATGTTCAATAGGATGCTGTAATTGCTGACATCTTAGGCAACAAAGAAGTGTGTGTTTACGCTTTATTATAATAGTATAGATTATGTGTTGCCCGCGGTACCGTCCGCGAATTAATAAAATGTAAGTAAGTAGTCTATGTGTTCTTCCAGACTATTCTCTATCTATGCCATATATCATCCAGATTTGTTTAGCTGTTTAGACTACAAACAAACAGTCATCCATACAATATTTCGCATTTTTAATATTAGTGAAATTAGAAAGATTATTCTATGATATTAGTCGTAAATTTTGCTTGTATAACCTAGTTTTTGTTATAATTGTTATCGAATACGTAGTATAATGTATTTATTTCATCGTTTTAACAAAGACAGGAGATTTTATGTGTTATATGTACATGTATTACGCATTACTAAAGTTATTACACGTTCGTGTTTCACCCACGTTGAATTTTATTAACACTATGTTGAACATTTCCTGTGTTTTTACGTTTAATAATAAATCAATACGTGTTAATATTAATGTTGATTTACAATTCTAACAGTCATTGAAATGTGGAATTTATACTTATTTCTGGATATCTGTTTTACAGCAAGCAGTGGGTATTTGTGTAACAGTAGTAGTATAAATCAAAATATATACAATGTCCCACTTGACAGTGCAATACCACCACACAGAAGACAGTAGTCCACTAGAACTATTATCTAGCGTCTGAATTACATGCTAGACGCTAAATTCCAGTTCTTTTAGACTCAGTGGGTTTGGCAAGATAGGGAATACACGCAAGGGTAAATCACTTCCCTGTACAATCTCTATTCTGTCTATAAAAGGAAGTTAAGCAGTCACTTTGCAATTATAACAATTTCAGATAACCGCTCGTTTGTTTTTTACCTATTATTTTTTACTAATGGAGATATTGAGAAGCAAAAGGTAAGCGTGGTATGGACATATGTGGAAAGATGATGATCATATATATAAAACAGTTTTAATATTGAATTTGGAGCTCCAAACGCAGAGGAAGACTTAAGTAAGTAAGGATTGTGTTAAAGAGGACATGCTTAAGGGAGTATATTTGTGATTGATACGACATGTATGGAAGAGTAGTACAGACTGCCGACTGCCCGTAGGGACAAGTGCAGGTTGGTAGAAAAATCTAGATCAAGAACTATGAAAGTTCTGATAGTTAGAACGATATTGTTACAATCTGATCTCACTACGTCATGAGCGTATTTTAGTTGCTCAATAAAAGTGTTATCTGAACAGAGATAGATTTACTTGTTGTTCGAAACTCGATATAAAAACAGAAAGACTTTTACGATGTATTGATAGTTATAGGTAGTCTAAATCTGTTAATATAGTTTATAGAACTAGTGAAAATAAGATTAGCTAATTTGTATATAGGTCACTATATGGCATAGTTTTGGTATAGTATTTAAATCTATCTATACATATAATAAAATTGAAGTGTCTGTTAGTAATATTAAAAGGAAAAATCCAGATTTCTGGAAGATGTATTTGCGTTACTGATAA